GTATTCAGAGTGAAGATTTCACCATGGCTGCTCGCGTTATCCACATAGGAAGCACAAGTTAGTTTACTCGCCCGTCGCAGGCCCAAATGTATACCTCCTGATCGAAACATGGTACTGCCTTGTATTCGTCCGCGAGTGCCCTTGTCGCTCTGATAGTAGCTGACTTGTTTAAAAACGATTGCTCGGTCTCAACACACACTTCACATATGATGGACTTTCTGTTTGCGGCATTCATATTCATTGCGATACCATGATAAGACGTGCGCCTAAATTGTGTTAAAATAGCAATTCCTTGTTTTACTTAACAATGTGCCTACGAGCCATTGTGATCGTCGCTGTGATTACTAGTGTTTCCACGAGCTAACACAGCACGGATTCAAGGCATATTGATATCTGCTTTACACCCGCATCTATTCCAATACGAACTGTATCACGGTGCAAATCCACTTTAACGATGACTCTGCGCAGCCAGCTTTATTGTACTCACGCGATATAATTACGGACTGGAGAAAATTGGCGAACATCCTTATTAGCTATTTCTCGTATGGTGCTATCCACGAGTAAATTGGTCGTCACACCACCGACTTTCGGAGCACGAATGATCGTCTTGCTGTTGCACAGCCGAACATCGCGTGGTCATTCGTAACGCGATAAGTTGCTTTAACGTCAAGCAGTCATAGCGCAGCTTGACTTGTTGGAACTCTGTCACCTTGAAATGACAATCGTGACGCAGCAGGTAATACCGGTGTGACTTTCCGTGGCATCGTCGTGCTGACTGAATCAGGCTTATCTTTGAATTCTTAAGCCGCCTTCAAATTTCGTGATGAAATCGTCGATGCGGACAGTTCCTTTCAACATTAACAACCCTGTTGCAAAAGAATCACAGGCTTCCTTCACCCACGCGAAGTATGATAAATATTGCTCTAAACGTCCTCTAGAGATTCATTTACTTCTCTTGTGATTCTTGTGAGCATTATTAACGCCAAATACAAGCCGATTCTTGTCATAAAAAAGGGTATCCTTAATTACACCCCACTTTCACTAAACGCACCCGATACACCACACCCGTACTAAACCACAATACGGTTTGTATGACAAACATCGCGCCTAACTACTTCTGTACAACCGTTGTCACACAACAATCTGCAACCGTCGTACAAATAATAAGTAATCATCAAGTTTATCTCGACATGTATTGACCAGTGCGTCGTGGTCGTTTATTGATTCGTTTACGAAAGTAGAAACCTTAATCGTCTTTGTGTGCTACAAGAACTTTGCTTGGTTGTCGACATGTAGTGACGAGTGCGTCGTGGTGGTTGATAAATTCGTTTGTGAAAGGAAACTATCTTAATCGTTTTTGTGCTATGAAGAAGTTCGCTTGGTAAGCCACTTACCATTTGAACGACGTATGCAAATTGTTGTATGACAACGGTCGTACAGAAGTAGGTGGGCATGATATCTGTCGTGCGAACTACATTGTGCTTTGTACGGGTGTGGTATATGGGCTGTATTTAATAAAAAGTGGGGTGATATCCCCCCCACAATACGATAATCACCTCCCTAAAACCAAAACAGGATACATTTTACAACATATACTAAATTACATATGTACTGTGTCTCTTGCAACTTACACATGCATCGCGTACGCCGCACGCCATGTGCCGCGGGGTCATACATAACGTAAGTATACATGATAGCACGTGTATCCATACAAATACCAAGTCACAGTGAGTGAAACTCCAATGCATCATCGATATTCTATATAAAAGGTAGACAGCACCCGGACTTCCCCGGTGGTCACCCACCCGAGTACTACCCGAGCTTGAGGCTGCTTAACTTCGCAGAGCAAACGGGATACGGTTTTATCAGCCTAAGATGGCCGTCTACGACACCACTGTATCGGTTGGTCCTACGCACAGCAATTCATACCAGAAGTTGTAAGTGCCAAAATTCTGCGCGAAAGTTGATGAAGTCTGATGCGTATTCCGAAATAAAGTATCTGTTAGCAGAAGAGATGTCCACGGCTCTTACTTTTAAATTCCACGCCCGACTACAAATAGGAAAAATTGATAGCTGCGTATGTTCAAGTTAGATTGTCGATCGGTTGAGGGCACACACACAGTTGAGCAAGCACTGCTCAGTGTTGATGTCTTGCATAGATATTTGGTGTACGTGTTATTATTCGCGTTGGTACATACACAAAAACGAAACAGCATAATATAACGAAAGCATACATTTAGGTCGTGTTGCTCGAAAAATTTAGCTTATTCACATTTTTTACGCTTTTTAGTTACTATCAAAGAATTGCTGTTGGCGCGTAATGCAGTACTCGAGGCATTTTTGCGTTTTGATATTCTTCGGCTCGCCCTCATACATGAAGTAAGCAGCAAGATCATGTTCCAGCATGCAGTGTATTCCGTCCGCAATTTTCATAACTGCATTACAAGATCCTTTTTACTTTTGAAGATAGCAAAAGGCTGTTCTGCACATCAGTGGACCGTCGCTTGAGTTCGCGCTCTCGATCCAGCTCGCGCTGCTGTTGCTCGCGAGCTTCTTGCTCTCCAGCATCCATCTGTAGAGACGCGCTCGCCATCAGCTATAATTATTTTAGAACATTGATATCATAGTGTAGACTTTGATCTAAAGTATATACTTACCATCTGGACAACACGTAGATCATCGTTTGTGCGGCGCATGACCTTATGTAGCGCGCTATGTCTTAAATTGACAAACAACCTAATTTTAGTTTCAAGGGGGTGAAAATAGTAAAAATGGAAGATGAAACTATCATTACCCTAAAAAGTACCTTCTCTAACGCAGCACAGAAATTGTAAAGCCATTTGTCCCAGGTCGTTGTTATTGGCGTATTGGTTGACCAGGACTAAAAGCGTAGAAGCTTCTACGGGACCGGAGTTCAGTAATAATTCCCATTGCGAGTCGATCGCCAAATCTTTGCTGATTACAATCCCGCGTAATCAAGCCATGCGCAGTGTTTCTACTTCGGGACACGTAAGCGGTCGACAAGCTTTAGGCACTCGGCAACTGTAAGAAGCGGTATAATTCATGGTGCACTTCTATGAGGAAAGCTCAAATTCTCTTTTAGCTAAAAAAAACTGCCCTGCAAAAAGCTGATCAAACAGCCATGAGCTTAATCGTCAGCATCATCTTCAAGAATTCGTTCCATTCACAATTTACTTACTGACCAATCTGTTCCACCATTAGGCTTAAACATTGCGAAGTAAGAAAAGTCAGTGAATTCCATACGGCTTGACATCGTGGTGAGCATGAACGTAACTCCAACTGCTACATTTTTTTCGCATCCACTGCGTGCCCTTACCAAGCATAAAGACGCTTCCGCTCTATCATTCGCAGCTCAAACACGTTTGACCTGTGGATCGTTGGCAGTATATGTGGATGATTGAGTGGGCCCGACGCAAATATCCAGATTTTGATGTGATCCTATCTTCCGAGGAAATTCTCTGGACACTAACCCTGTACAAGCGTTTAAACCATTCCACTGTTTACAAGGCCTAGGGTCATGAAGGCTTTGTGTGTATCATGAGACATAACCACCGGTCGGAATGTGTGCGCGCGTATCCATACAAGCCTATGAGTCCAAACTTGACTTTTAAATTCATTCCATGCTACCATTGTGATTTGAGCAGCTCACCCCAGCTTCCGCCTGTCAGGTTTGCGTAAATTTGAGCGACCCGCCACCACAGTTTCGTCATGACTGCTGATTGTTTTTATGTTAGAATCAAGTTTAACGTTATGATAAACAATATCATTTACTTCGACCTCAGAGGAAGTGAATATACACATCTATGATCGCAATATCAGCTTTGCCGATGATTGCTACTTGACCACCACATGATCAGTAGTTGCCTGTACACAATGCGCATTTCTATCCAAGTCCGACGATGCTTTTTCTGGCACCCCTACCTGTTATGATGCGTGACAAATGACACGCGTCACAGGCGTCTCGGTGAAACGTAGTAGTTTTTTCTACGGATTTTTTATCGTTACCTTAACTGTTGTAGCATCCGTGGAACCTTGCATATACCAGAGTTAATGTTCCTTCAGTAAGCCGATACCACACCATTAATTCAAAGACAGCATGGAAACTAGCTGCTATTCAACGGTAAACTTCGCATAAGTAGTCGTTAATTGCTTACTGGTACCCGCTACATCCAGAATTGATCATATACACAATAATGCATCCTAGATCGTTGTGCTTAGTCATCCAAAGTGAGTGCATTGCTACTGAGACGTCTTTTTACACTGGTAATCGGCCTAAGTGTCTAAGCTCCTACGAAGGATAGACAACTTCCAGTTTTCAGGCGAAGAGACGCTGAAGTTCTTAAATATGATGGATATTGAGTTCATACATCCGGCATGCATGCCCTACAAAAATTTACAAAACATGACGCTATTTGGTAAATCATTAGCTTACATACACAAAAGTTGATTTGCAAAACTACCCCCCCAAAAAAGCGAGATGTTGCTGAGTCGGGAAGGTTGAATTGTGAATGAGATTTAAATTACCTTGTTATACAAATTTACATGGCGTTTCCAGGAAATAAAATTGACTTTTGCGGCGATTCACACAAAAAACACGCGCAAATAATTTGCTCTGACGAATCCAGTGTCTGTCCTATTCCGAAACCCTTGCAATTGACCAAATTTCAGGCCAAAGAATTCAGATGCACCTATCGGTCTAGCGTATTCGTTTGCTGGAAATAAAGGCTAGCACAATCGATCGCCAGGTGGCATATGGTTGGACCTATTAACAAGGCCACTTTGCGCGGGTCACTTGCGTTTGAACACCAAGATGTGAGTAACCTGGGTAAAAATGTCCACGAGTGGTAGCCAACAAAGTGATCTAAACATCCACATTCCTAGCCGTTTTATCCAACATCAACCCCTCTAGACACACGCCGCAAAAATAGGCCAGTCGTTCTCGTAACTAGTGCGTTTCGTATCGCTACTTACGCACAGCCTCAAGCCTCCAGGCCACTTTCATCTTCCTCGTCACCTTTCCCAGCTTCATTCCTAGACCCCTCTACCGAAACGTGGATCCGGTGCCACGCATTGTTTAGTATGCCACGCATATTCCAAATAGGAGCAATGGTATCAGGTTGCACGTTGTAAGATATATCGACAGCCTTGCATATAATGTCCACCTTCTTCGTTCCTGGGGGTAGCTCAACATCTATCTCCCAAGGAGTCCACGCCCAAGCACGGTTGTATGTTTGACGTTTACCAGACTCATGCAGCTCAGCAGGCGTCGAGGTCTTACCGCCGTCCGTTGAAACGTCAACACGAATGATGTTTCGACCGCCGCCACTCCAGGCATACCCCTTCACGGTCACAACAGAGCTGTCGGAAGCGTCATCCACAATATATATAGAGTCATCTTTGGGCTCAGTAATTGCAGATTGAACAGGTAGCTCCTGAATAGATTCACCAGCATATTTCCAAAAGTTGTCATGAGAGTAATCTACATTAGGTGGAAACCCCTTGTAGTCACGCTGCTGCCAGAAACTAGGGCTTTCTTCGCTTGAAAGCACGATACGGTGAAGAAATTTCACGTTACGAGCACCTACTGTGCCAGGAACAATTACACGCAAAGGATATCTGTGGTCACGCGGGATCGTTTCACCATTCATCTCAAATGCAAGCAGTACATCCTTCCGGGGGTCCAACGCGGTGGAAATCGGAATCGACGCACCATAACAATTTCCCTCAGTGTCCACATCCAGGCCCTCAAATTGCACGTGTTGAATCACCAACTGGTCATCGCCATCGCCTTTTCCGTCACCCTCACACGGTCCGCTTGCTGCATCTTCGTCCGTCACGCCAACACTCGCGAGCACGTCCGAAAGCAGCACACCCGTCCACTTTGCCGTCGACAAGGCTGTGGTGTCCCAGCTCAGCCCATTCACCTGCTTCACTCGCGACATCTCGGCCCGTCGATTGCCAGCACATTGAACTGTCGTTGTCACCGTGTGATGTTTGAACCTGCTTTTCAACTCGTCCAACGTGAATTCCACCGTCGAGGTTTTATCCGAGACTCCTACCCCTGCAATCTTAAGTGTAAATGTATCCGTGTCAACTTCTGGGACCGGTAAATGGTTCCGTACAAAAAACAAGTCATTTGGCGTCAGAAACGACTCCATCAAGAGCTCCGGGGGCGGCTCTGCATTAAACGGCATGCTCGAGTTCACCTTCAGCGCCGGGTGGCGCACAGGGTCGCGACTATACGGCCCATCACCGTATTGTTGTTTCCGTGCGGCCTCCAGCGTGGCCACGTCGTCCGCGTGGAGATTCCCCACGCGCAACGTCTCGAGGACCTTGTGCACGTCCGCGTGATTGTGCGCCGCATAGAGCTGCCAGAACGGCTCAATGGACTTGCCAGCCGCTAGAAGGATCTTCGTGCCGCCGGGATGAGACGCAACGAACGGCGTGATGTTGTACACACCGTGCTTGTAGACGACCCACGTGCTGCCGCTCTGACTCGCGTCCGTGTGCTGCTGCACTTCACTAAGTGAGTACGTCGGGAGGTCCGTGCGCACGTGACCAGCAATAGCAGCAGGAAGGGGTGGGGTTTCACTTGCCTCGTCTATGTCGAGGTTTTTTATTGGTTCTTGTCTACTGTATGGAGTTGTCCACAAGGCCAAAGTCGTGGCAGCCGCAGCAGCGGCTGCAGCAGCGCATACGGCATATTGAGGATGACAGAATGCACGATGTGATCGCGTGCCCGTAGACCCTGGCGGGGAAATTGCCGCACGCACGACAAGTGGCCGAGCGATGCGACGCAGCAGCGCGGAATGGACGGGCATTTGTAAAAAGGGGAATGCGGGACAGTTTGTGTGGTCCACGTACAACCACTAGGTTTCCCTGACCATCACTCGTCGAGTCCGATGCGCACTCACCACATTCGAAATGGCAACGTGGATGACACTTGCTGTCGCCTCGAGCGCCACGAGCGTCGGCTTGGCGCTCTACGTACTCCACCTGCGCGCTTCGCTGCGCGAAGCAGCGACACGCAACGACACGCTCTGGACAGCAGAGGATCTCGTTGCCGCGCGTCGCAGTATCTTCCCAATGGACTACGACCACGACCGCCGCGTGCCCCGTGCCGTGTTGGACAAGATGTTGGAGGGCGCGAACTGGGCGCCCACTCACGGCCGGACAGAGCCGTGGCGCTTTGTCGTGTTTGCTTCGTTACCCAAGCGCCAGGAGCTCGGGGAGTTCTTAGCGAGTGTTTATCGAACGACTGTCCCGTCTCAGAAAGTACTTGACTCAAAGTATAGGAAACTCGTAAATAACTGCACAACGTCGTCGTATGTGGTCGCCATTTGTCTTAAACGACAGAAAAGCCGAAAAATTCCCGAATGGGAAGAACTGTGTGCTGTGGCTTGTGCCGTGCAGAACATGCACTTGGTGGCCACGGCACACGGCGTGGGCGCGTACTGGAGCTCGGGGGCCATTAGCACCGAGTCACAGGAAATGAAAGAATACCTGCAATTAAGCGAGGCCGACAAGTGTTTGGGACTCTTTTACGTGGGTGCACCGAACCCACGTGCGGTGATTGCCAAGGGCGTGCGCAAACCGATTGAGGAGAAAGTCAGCTGGCGTGAGTAATACCCTCGTTTCGCGTGAGGGAAGCGTAGGAGGAACGTCGCTTGCTTCGGAGAATAGCATGCTTCCGTGTGGTAGTGAACTGCCCATTCAGTAGCATCGTTTATATTGCATGCTGAAGAAAGAGCACTATTTCATTGTATAATTGTTGTGTTGTAAGAGATGTTAGCGATGTAGAACGGCACGTATTGACGTTGTGTCTTGTGGAGAGCGGCACTTGCGGAACGACACAAATATCATGCTTGTAACGGGGTGAATCGTTACATAACAATTTATAAGAAATTGTTAATAGAATATAACTATAAGAGTTATATTCTCAGAATATTGTCATAAGGACAAATATTCTGTAGCACTTACAAGTAGTTCCTAATTGGTTGATATAGGCCATTATATCAACCAACGAAGACGCGCCACGACAGACGCACGCAATGAGTGGTGAGCAGATAACTGATTTACACATTTGTATTTCGGCATAGTTAGATGAAGATAAATAGTGATTTATTGCAGACATTAACTATACTAAATACAGTTCTACTTTTACTTTTACCAAGTACTCGCTTCTTCTTACCGTCTTCCTCTGCACTTACCAGTGTACGTGAAGTTTCGAGGCACCGCCTTATTCTGTCATCAGAATAAGTAGCTTGTACTGTCACCAGTACAAGCTTCAGGGTGCCCCGTTACACCTGGTAGCACTTCGTAGTCCGTCCAAGGACCGCGTTCACATCCGACATGAATATGTTGGATGATGAAGATGACCAAAGCTTTCACGCTACGCGTGACGGCTACTCCCATTTGAGCGATGTCGAATGGGATGCGGTTGAATGGATGGGTTCAACCATGGGCATCCATGCTGTTAGCGTCATGCTAGAGGCTCTCAATAGAGATGCCCAACATGCTACTATCGCCAAGTTCATTCAAAATGAACTTGACTTTGAACGCGAGAAAGTAGCCTTGCTTCACCAACAAGGTTCTCAACAAGCAGAGTTGTTGAGAGAACAGGGTGCTCAACAGTTTGAACTGTTGAGACAGCAGCAGGCTGCTGCTGGCGGGTCGATGCACTCGCGTCGATCCGAGACTTTGAAGATTGACATCTCAAAGTATAGGGGGGTCGAAGAGGACTCCCTCTTGAGATGGCTCGTCGAATTGGATGACGCCATAAGGGCGCGTCGCATCGACGACGGGGATATGCAAGTTGCATTTGCCCAGTCAAATCTGGCAGGACGTGCCAAGACTTGGGCACTGGGGCTCAAGTTGCACAACCCATATGCGTTTGGGTCGTTGGAAGTCTTCAAGTCGCGGCTCAGACAAACGTTTGAACCGCCTAGAGCTGAGTTCAGGGCTCGAACCGACCTCTTGAAGCTCAAACATGGTAAGCGTGATGTGCACGCTTACGCGCAACATATACGACATCTCACGAGTGGTATAAGCTCCAACCCGGTTGATGAACACACGTTGGTTTCGGTGTTCATGCAGGGTCTTGCGGATGGTCCCGTCAAGACTCACCTGTTCCGACTTGACCTAGATTCACTAGAACAAGCCATTTCCATTGCGGATCAGGAAGACTTCAGTCTGAGACAGGCTCGCGCCAGCTCGACAACATATCGTCAACCGAGACGATATGACAGCGGAGGTCCAGAGCCGATGGAACTCTGTCATGTAGAGAGCGAGAAGGCTCGCTCTACAGACTACAAGAAGTTGCAGAAATGCAACAGATGTCAAAAGACAGGACACTACACTTACGAGTGCAGTGCCCCTCGTCCAGTGTCTCGCGACACTGGGCGTAGTGACCGTCCACCCATGAGAAAGGGACAGGGACGAGGGTCCGCAGTTGGTGCAAAGACGCAACAACGGGATGGACCGTCAAAAAACGGACAGGATCAGTAGGTGCGGAGCACCCTACTGGTCTAGCAACGTCAAGAGAATTTGTAGGCCTCTTGATGAAGGTTGCTCCCAACACACAAACGTTGTGCGTTGCTGCTCAAGGTAATGAGATCTCACTCATTACCTTGAAACTCGAAGTGACGAATAAGTTGTCCCTTCGAGCTCTAGTCGATTGTGGGGCGTCCAACAATTTTGTGCGACGCCAATCTCTAGAATATGTTCACTTCAAGTTCAGTGAATGTGACACACCTCCTACGAGGATGACGGTACGTCTTGCGACAGGCGCATCCGTAACCGTCATGAAGCGTATAGTAAAGATCCACTATACGCTAGAAGATACCCAATATGACGATGACTTTATCGTGTTGGATTTGGATGACAAATTTGATGTCATCCTTGGAATACCGTGGCTCAGAAGGTACGAACCACGAGTAAACTGGCAACATCGGACAGTAACGATGCCTGCCGCTTGTTCATCAGATGGCCATCCGATGAACGTTTTGGAGCGTCCACAAGCGTGTGGATGTACTACGAGTGAGTGAGATGGCCTCACTTGTGGTACGGTCGTTAGTACGACTACACAAAACCTTAGTGTACCAAACGGTTACACTTCGGAGCAAAGTTCCGGCGGCTGTGAGGAAACACAGGCTGCGCCGAAGGTCCACCACTCGAATAAGTCGGGTGGACTGGGACAAAGATGTATCCCTAGCGGGGAACATCTAGAAGAGAAACAATCGATCGCTCAGGTTAAGCGAAACGATAATCCTAGATCGACTGGAGAGTCTTTCGTAGAGTATCTCGCTGTGGTTGCGCAACCCCAGCTAGAGGAAGTAAAGGGAATAAGTCCCGATATAACAAATACGGCGGAAATAAGTTCCCCGAAACCCGCGGGAATAAGTCCCCGGGAAGCCGAAGGAATAAGTCCTTCGAAGCCTGAGGGAATAAGTCCCCAGGAAATGACAGAGACATTGAATGTCATAGTCAATAACGGATCAAGTGTAGGCGCTTATACACTTGATTTGATTGCGCCTCCGAAGTTAACTTCGGAGATCACTCAGTTGCCAACGCTCGAACATAAAAGGTTCTTGCGTGATCTGCGTAGCGGCAAAGTCAAGCAGATCTACATACTCGTCGCTGACGACGAGTGTGTAACCGACATAAGGTCAGCAACAGTGTTCACTGAGAACGAGAGAGTTCTCAGTAGTTCATCCATGGACGAGAGTGTCCTAGATGAAAAGACACGAATTGAGCGATATGACTCCCAATCGTGGGAATCGCTCAAGACAAATCCTCTCTATGAAGATTTGGTTGAATTCAAGGATGTATTCCCTGAAACTGTTCCGTGCAAATTACCGAAGGATAAAGGTATTCGACACGAGGTCGAGCTTAAACCAGGCTCGAAGTACTGTGTCATGAAGCAGTGGCCACTGCCTCGTGAACAAGTACTTGCGATCGACAAGTTCTTTGCCGATCGTTTAGCTGCGGGCCATGTGAGGGAATCAACTTCCCCACATAGCTCTCCGACCTTCTGTGTGCGAAAAGCAACAGGAGGGTGGCGGATAGTGCACGCGTTCAACAAATTGAACGCTGCAACGGTACCGGCTCAGACGCCGATACCGAGGAAGGACGTAATCATTGATGGTATGTCAAAGAGTACCATCTTTTCGTCCATGGATTTGATGGATGGCTTCTATCAAATCCTTATGCGAGAACGGGATATACCCTATACCGCAGTTAGCACGCCTAGCGGCATGCTCTGGGAATGGCTAGTAATGCCACAAGGGCTTAGTAATGCCCCTGCCACATTCAACAGATGTGATACACATCTGTTGAGACCAGTACGAGAATTTGCGCCGAGTTATTTCGATGACGTATTCATCCATAGTCGAGCTATGGATGGAAAGTCGGACGTTGAGGTTCACAGGTACCACGTCCGACAAGTTCTTACAATCATGCGAAAGCATCAATTGTATGCAAACCTCAAGAAGTGTATATTTGCAGCAAGCGAAATACCACTTCTTGGGTGCATCTTTGGTAAGAACGGTGTACGTCCTGATCCCGAAAAGATCAAGGCGATCACCGACTGGCCTGTGCCGGTCGATGTCAAAGGTCTTCGAAAATTCCTTGGGCTAGCGGCGTATTTGCATAAGTATTCACGCAATTACGCCGAGATGACTGTGCACCTCTCTCGTTTGTTGAAAAAGAACGAGAGGTGGTTATGGAACGCTGAATGTCAGCGCTCCTTTGAGGGTATCAAGCAGAGCTTGATACAATCCCCAGTCCTAGCAATAGCCGATCAGGACAGGCCATTTCATGTGGTCTGTGATGCCAGCGATTTCGCAATCGGCTGTGCATTAATGCAGTACGATCTTGAAGGCGTTGAACGCGTCGTCTGCTATCAGTCGCGTCAGCTGCAACCAGCTGAGCGGAACTATCCAGTGCATGACAAGGAACTCCTTGCCATGAAGTATGCACTCGCGAAGTTCAGAGTCTATCTATTAGGAGATAGACCCTTCATTGTTTACACTGACCATGCGTCATTACGCACGGCAGTGAACAGCCCGCACCTTTCACAACGAATGGCGCGGTGGTTGTCATTCTTTGCGGAATACAACTTTACGGTCGAGTACAAACCAGGACGACTTAATGTCGTCGCTGATGCACTCTCACGTCGTCCCGACTTTGAAACAGTCGCGAAACCCAACAGTGAGACAGTCACTGTTGCGGTTATGACGTCCTCAGTCCCATCTACAACGTTGTATGATGATGTGAGGCGGGCATACGCCCAAGATGGTGAGATAGTGAAGTTGTTGACACATCTCTCCCAACCATCTCGAGAATCGTTGAAACGATTGTCGTCTGCGTATCGATCTGATGCAGATCGATACACTACTCGTAACGGTTTACTGTATTATACAGCCGTTTCTGGTGACACACCACGTGTTGTCATTCCAGATGATACTGATCTGCGTTTGCGGATCATGTTCGAGTATCACGATGCTCCTATAGGAGGACATCGTGGCCGAGAGAAAACATATCTCACGGTGAGTCGAGACTTTTACTGGCCCCGCCAGTATCAGTTTGTGCGAAAGTATGTTCGCGCATGCGAAGTCTGCCAACGAGTGAAGTCAATTCATTCACCGCGTGCACCTTTACAGCCTCTACCAGTTCCGGCATAGTGCTGGGAATCCATCTCAATGGATTTCGTCTTCGGTTTACCCAAAGACGCACGCGGGAATACGGGTATTCTCGTATTTGTTGACAGATTCAGCAAAATGGTACACCTTGTGGCTGTACCAGAGGCAATCACGGCAAGTGGCTGTGCTTGTGTATTTATTGAAACCATCTTCCGACTTCATGGGTTGCCCCGTGAACTCGTATCAGACAGAGATCCACGATTCACTGCTGATTTCTGGCGTTCCGTGTTCAAATCGCTCGGAACGCGCTTCAAAATGTCGACATCTGATCATCCAGAGTCAGATGGTCGGACGGAACGTGCCAATCGTGTCCTTGAAGAGATACTTCGAGGATACGTACACTCCTTTAAGAGTTGGAGTGAGTTTTGCCAATGGTAGAGTTTGCCATTAACAACTCGGTGCATGCGTCCACGACACATACACCGTTTTACGTGAATGGCTTGCGCCATCCGCGTGTACCCACCTTACTAGAGTGTAACTCTGGTTTAAGGGGGGAGGGACTCGCGCGAGCAAAAACCGATTTGTTTCACGCTCATCACGCTCTGACGAAGAGGTCATTGCGTTTGATGCCGATATCGATAACATCGATATCGAAGAAGATGATGCCAGTGAGAGTGCGGAAGCCCTCACTGAAGAAAAGATTGATGTTGCTGCAGTGCGCTCACAGCGCACTGAAGCTAACGAGTCATCAGATGGGTTCATACTGGCTCGTGAAACGGTAGTCCGTTTTGTGCAAGACTCCATCGCCGAAGCGGTGGATAAGCAAAAGCAAAACGCTGACAAGAAATGGAAGGGCAAACACTCTTTTATTTAATAAAGGTGACTTAGTCCTACTGTCTACGGTTAATATACCAAAGCATGTTAGTGACTAACTTGGGTAGCAGTAAACTACTACCCAAGTACATCGGCCCATTTCGTGTATTGCACCGCCTAGGCAATGCATACACGATCGAGTTACCACGTAAGATGCGAACGCATCCCACGTTTTACGTTGGTCGGCTTAAGCCGTACCATCAGTACGCTGCTTCTTCCGATGAAGAACGACCTTGCGCTCAAGCATCTCGTAGAGAGCCTTGTGCTCCCGATGGTGGGCATCAACAAGGGTCTGAAGAGCAGCTATCTCATCCCGAGACCGATCAACAATCCCACGAGCTACCCTTAGCTCGTCACGAAGAGATGTCAGAGATCTCTCGTTCTCAAGCTGAGCAAAGGCAAACTCAGCTCGATGCCTCAAGACAGTGTCCGCCATTTGGAGACGCATGTCCCGCTCATGTTCGAAATCGTTGCGTAACCCTTGCGTTACGCGATCAAAGAAGCTCTCGGGAACACACGGATCCCCATGAACGTGTGGAGAGCGTCTTTCCTCCTCCTCCACCTCCATTAGAGGACTCTCGCGGTGGCCAGCGCTATCTAGTTGAGCAGCTGTTGAATTACCGCGACGTGAACGGACGTCGGACGAGTTATCTCGTCCGGTGGCGCGGCTATCCCCCGTCTTGGGATTCTTGGGAGCCCCGCTCCCAACTGATGATCGACGTACTGGGTCTGGTTGAGCAGTACGACGCGGCACATCCTGTGCCGCAGAAGGACCGCCGGAGAAAGTCTTCCCGGCACGGTCGTAAAGGGATTTCAGGTTGTCAATCCCTTCGTACATATCAGTAGAGACACGTACGCGCCACCACGGGCTGGTAAGGAGGTAAGCCTCCTTAGGTGCTCGTGCAGAGTTGTTCACACAACATGGGCACGAGTCTCCCCAAGAGAAGCAGGGTAATCCTTTCTCCCTTGACAGACGATGCAGCTTGTAGCGTG